CGCCCCGCCCGGGGGAGGGACACTGGGGGCGGAGACCCACGTGTCTGCCCGGGACCGCCGGCATCCTTCTGGGTTCAGCGGTGGGCGCTAGCCTCAGACGCGGCCCTCTAGCCGGCGCGATCCCCGCCGCCATAGAACTCGCGCGTCCGTGAGGTGGGGGAACACCACCCTCATCGTGTGCCCCCCCAGCGCCTTGTAACCTTATGTGGTACTGTCGCGGGGGTTAATACCAAAACGAACCTCAGCCCAGGGCTCCAAGAGCGGGCGTCCTGGCACCTGCTGGTGTTTAGGACCCACGTGTGTGCTGCGCATGGGCAGTGACAACCGAGGGTCTACCTAGCGTGTGCTGAGCCCGGGCACCCCGACTCCCGGCGCACGACTACCCCATTTAGGAGGGGAAAGAGAACCAGTAGAGCGTGTATCTTGGGTTTGCCATTATTACCGAGGCTGCAGCGGCTGTGGAGTCCTCCACCCAGGCCACCGGCCCCTTCTTGAGCTGGGAACAGTCTGTTCTCCTGGCTCAGGACTCAGTTCTTCCTCTGACCACTCAGGTCGGCTGCCTTCCATTCTGAGGTGCCTCACCTTCAGATCCCCATCTGGTCAGATGCTATGCGGGTGAAAATCGCTAAACCCTGTGCACAAGAGAGAACCACGGTGTGGCGTTGGTGCATTTTCAAAAAGGATGAGGAGGAAGCAGGACTGGAGGAGACCAACTCTTGGGAGCCCAGGGGGGAGGAACTGTCTGGGGAACCAAGCTGGAAGTTCAGAGTCCCAAGGAGAGGGGAAAGGGGCTGAGACTGCCTGTCATGAGCCTTTAACATAGGGTCTTGAGCTAGTGCCCAAGGTGTCACAGCTCTAAGTCTCCATGGCCTGGGGTGTCTGGGATGGGCCATGATACCAGTTAATCAGAGCTGCTGACCCAGAAAACTGAACCAGAGAGAGGGCACTTGGGTCAGCTCGGCAGAATTCAGGGAATCTGAGACAACTGACTGACGTTGCGGGATGGCCGAGACTACGCGGGCTGTCCCTCGTTTCCCGGAGCGCTCAGAGAACTCCTTGCTCCATCCTCGCCATTGTGGCTGGGACGTGCGGCCTCGGCCCTTGTCACCAACTTCCGATCCGACGTGGGCCGTTCATCCGCCCTGCACGTGTTCCTTGGACTTCCTTCCTGCCTCTTGGTAGACACCCTGCTTTACTTACAGCACTTCCCCAGGAGGGGACAAACCTCCTCTGCGGTCACGGCTGGGGGGATTCGCACGTGAGATGAGATCACTCTCCTTCCCTGCCGCGCTTCGTGGTTAGGCAGGAGTGACCCACCACACGCACCTGGTCATCAGTGAGTCCCAACGCGCTCTGTCTTTGTCATGTCTAGCCCCCAGGAGCACCTCGCTGCCTCTAGTGCCATTTTCCACTGAGGGGGACCCAGCCACAGGCCCCGGGATCTGGAAGGTCAGGACAGGGAACCTGGGAGCTTCTCACCTGAGGGCATGTGCCGATGAACCCATTTTTGCCCATCCTGCTTGGAACCTGAGGCCCCATGGGCCCACATGTGGGGCAGAGGGCTCTGGGCTCCATTTCCAGCCGTATCCCAGGCGCCCTGTCCCTGGGCCAGTGTTTCAGCACCTCTGACCTCAGAGTTTTCTCTGTAGAAGGGGTTCCTGCCACCTGGTGAGGACTCAACCTGACATGGTGGTGGCCCTGCATGGGGCCTAACACAGACAGGCATGGCTCATGTCACGGGGCAGAGCCCCGTGGCCTGTGAAGGCTGCACTGGAGACCCAGTCCCAGGGGCCCCCGCCACACATCCAGAGCCGTGCTCTTTGTAAGGTATTTGCCAGAAGGTGGCATTTGGTGTGGTAGTTTTCTTACTTCAATGCCACGTCTCACCTGGAAACCACCCATTCAGACAAAACACTTTCTTTTCCAGGCCAAGAAGACCCTGACGGGAGGCCACTAGGAAGGACCAAATGCTCCACTTCACGTCCCGGGTGCGTGGCACGGACGGCCCCCAGGGGCAGACATCTAACACCTCGAAAGCTCTTGGGACTAAAAGGCCCAGAAGACGCGAGCAGAGGGGAGTGGGTTTTCCAGCCTCGCGCAAGTGAGGGTTTGGGGTAGAACAAGATGCAGGGAACCAACAGTAAAGCACAGTCAGGTGGCACCAGATCTGTTTTGTTGTCTGCAGGGTGAGCGTGTGGGCCTGGAACACGCTGCTTTACCAGTCTCACTTTTTAAAGAATCTTCACCAAAAGCACGTCATCTGAGTCTAGTGAAGTCACTAATAGTTTATGAGACAGAGAGAGAACCACGGCACCAAGAGGGGAAGATGGCTCTGCAGGGCTGAGACACTGATGATTCATTCCGGCCTGGAGGAAGGGGTGGGTTAGAACGCAACAGTGGTGAGACCACTGAGGCAGCAGGGTCCATTCCCCAATGGGGAGCGCCTCACCTCCCTGCAGCCTCTGGAGTTAGAGCCCAGACACATCCCGGCCAGGCTCCTGCCGGCTCTAGCCCCCTGCCCCTTGTCCTGAGAAGAAGGTTAGGCTGCAGCAGTGTGCGGGGGTCCAGGGAGACTCGGCAGGACCCCCAGGGCTGCGGCCCCAAGATCCCAAGGTCCTGAGCACCGCCTGTGGGGTACACAAGGACTGCTCCCAGAGACCCCTCCCCAGGGGGTGGGGGTCACACTGTCCTCTGGCTCCACCCAGCCCCTGTGTCCCAGAGCCCCAGAGCTGTTTCCTCGTAAACGCTCGTTAGTCCGACCCTCCCCCTAGTGGTGAAACCCCACGGCTCCGGGATGCCCATCTCAGTGAAACGTGGCTCCCAGGGCGGCCTCAGGGGAAGCCACAGGCTGTGTGAGGGCGTCATGGCTGTCAGTCTGTCCCAGTGGGTGGTCACATTTCACAGCAGACTCGGATTCGGGATCAGGAACTAATGACACAACTCCCCATCCCTGGGGTGAGGGAGACCCACGGGTCGGCTGTGGGCCAGAGGGAGGAGGGCAGGCCAGGAAAATGGACTTGCTAAGCGCCTCCACTCAACTTTCCTGTCTGCCTGGACCTGATGTGCGGCCCCAGCACGTGTGTCTGGCCTAAGGATGGGCTTTGCCCGACCCTTTGTGCTCTCTCCGCTCTGACCTTTGACAGCCCGCTGGCCAGAGCTCCCGGCATCTCCGCTGAGCACATGTGCTCCGGTCCCTTCTAGGTGCTCTTTGCTGCCAGCCTTCAAACCCCAATCCACAGTGCTCGCGTCTCACGCCCAGGGCTGCAGACTTGCTTGGCGACCAGCCAGGCCGCTCCCCACACACCACACTCAGCTTGCAGGCCTCCCGGGCGACCCTGCCCTCCTGACCTGCCCAAACTCACTCGTCTTCCAGACGCTATGTATTGAAGGGAATTCAACAAAGTGGTGTCAGGATGCAGCAAAGAGCGTTTCTACTGCTGCTGCAGCTGCATCGCTGCATAGAAGTCACCATGTGCAGCTCTGTACTGTCCACCTGTCTTAGCTGTGGGTTGAGGGCTCAGCCCCACCAGCGGGGACCCTGGCCCTACACAGCTTAGGCCTTGGCTCCTTACTCCCAGAGCTGGGCGTGGTGGCCTCACTCTAGAACAGGAGTACAGACAGGGTCCTGTCCCTGTCGCCCAGGCCAACCTGGCCCCGTGTCTGCCAAGTGAAGCTGCCAACACGAGGGGCTGCCCACTGGTGGCCTGACGGCCTGCTCTGGCTGGACCACTGGCCACGGAACCCAGATGGAGGAAAGCAAAGCACTGTCCCCCGGCCCCTCTTGGGTCTGCCGATCAACCTCGGGGGCAGGGGGTGACCATCGGCTTTTCTGCCACTTGAAAACAAAATACAACATAAAACACCACAAAAACCCTTCCAACAGTTGAGCAGTTTGGTGGGGGTGGCCTGTAGCAGAGGCAGAGCAGGGGTGGGGGGAAGTGAGAGGCAGCCTCTGTCACCGCCCCCCCAGCCCTGCAGCGGGGCCCCCAGCACACGTCACCCGGGCACTTAACGTCTGTGGTTTGGGATCCTGGACTGAAGCTGTCGTCTGGGTGAGTCACCTTGGTACTAACCACACTGATTAGATGTCAGCGGTGTGTTTTGTTTTTTAAACCTCACAACAGCATGGCTGGGAGACCAGAGCGTGTGCAGAGCAGGGAGTGGGGTGGGGCAGACGCGGCTGGACTCCTGGGCCCCCCTGCCCCTCAGAGGCAAAGCAGCACTCGCTGTGGGTGGGGTGAGGGCAGAGATTTACTCAGGGTTTGCAGGACACTCAGGGAGCCTCAGATAAAGCAGCGTTTGGAGTCACAACAGCTGCGGTCAGGTGACTGCTTCTCCCAGCAGCTTGGGGGCCAGTACAGGCGGGGGCACCTCAATCTGGAATCCGGGCTGATCCCCAGCTGCACGGGAGGTAGTGGGTCACAGACCTCAAGGCCACACGCAGACCCACACCTTCACGGTCTCACCAAGAGGCTGTCTCTCCTCTCAGCTGAAGTGGACTAAGTCACTGCAGGAGCAATGGCAGGGCTCGTCTGGAAGGCGAGGCCGCAGCACAAGAGCGGTCAGACTCCACTCCCGGCCTGACCTCCGGGATTTCCAGGTTCACTGGCGGCCTGGGTGAGGCCGAGCGAGACCAGCTGACCGGAAGCAGGCGCTTAGCTGGGCTCAGGGCTCCTCCAGGGCCCCGGGCAACTGTTTGATCTGGCGGCCTTGGACCACCCGCAGGGCACCGCCTGCAGCCTGGTGCAGCTGGGCCTCCAGGGCGCTGCGGAGGTCGCTGACCTGCACATCGGGCAGGGGGTTGAAGCTGATGACGACCCCGTCGTTCAGGGCTGGGCCCCCCTCTGCCTGAGGAGCCACGTCCCGCCGTCTCCTCCGAAGGTCCGAGCCGGCCTGGACTTTCAGGTCCCGATTGGGTTTGGCATTGTCTAGCTTCTGAGCCCCGGGCATGGCCGGTTTGGGCCCGAGCTCAGGGTCTGGCCTCCGCTCTGTCTTTTGGATGGCGGCGTCCTCCCTGGGAGCGGGCCTGTGGTCCCTGCGGAGGGTCTCCTTCCTCGTCTCCGGATGCCCACCCTGCTGCCCGCCCTGACCCGTGGCAGAGACGGCCCGGGGTTCCGGCGGCTGTAACCCAGCCTGGGCCCAAGGGGCTGCTCCCCCTGGCCTGCTGGACAGGCCTGCAGGTGCCTGGTCTTGGCTCACCTGCTGGGACTTCACCTGCAGGCCCCCGGTCGCCGCCCCCACCCGCAGCGGGTCTGCCTCTTGAACGTCCGTGCCAGTAGCTGCCGCCTCCTTTCCGGGTTTCTTCCTTTCATGGGAGACTCCACCGAAAACGTCCCGACTCTGCCCAGGGAGTCCTCCAGCACCGTGCTTCTCCAGGCTCCCGAGCACCCTGGCAGGGTCTGGCACGGGGACCCGCTCCTGCACACCAGCACCCGCGGCCTCTGGCACGGCGCCCCGCCTGCCTTCCCTCGGCTCGGCCTGGGCAGCCTGGGGCTCCAGCTCAGCATCGCCGGGAGGTGCGGCCGGGGCT